AAAAAAAAAGAAGAAGAAGAAGAAGAAGAAGAATTCTACTTTGTAGGCGCAGTCAAGGAAATGTGTGTCTCAGAAACTTATGGCTGTACACTTGAGCCTTCTGAGCACACCAGGGAGAGAAGGTGGTATTTGGATTTAGGGGTATTGTCAGTTGATGTGTGAGGTCCATTGGTGTGCTTATAGCCACTGTCTGCATGAAAGTGCTCAGATGCTTTCCGTAAATATGTTCTTCATACCTGATGAGCAACAGCCATGCTGTTGAACTCTAGCACCCTCATTCCCAAAGAATGAATGGGTTCCTGCTGCTTGTTTTATTTACCCTTCTATTCCAAAGGCGCTCTGGTGGCATAGTGGTTAAAGCATTCGGCTGCTAACCAAAAGGTTAGTGGTTTGAATCCACCAGCTGCTTGGCAGGAGAAAGGTGAGGCAATTTGCTTTCATAAAGATTGGCAATCTTGGAAACACTATGGGGCAGTTCCACTCTGTCCTATAGGGTTGCTATGAGTTGGAATCAACTCATTGGCAGTGGGTTTTGGGTTCTCCTGTTACAAGGGTGCCAATTGTTCTAATACCTTTCATGCCGAGTTTTGTCATGAGTTGTGATAGATGCCGCAGGGAATTTGTTAATGATGATAAAGTGTGGGAGCTGGTAAATCATTGACCTTTCCTACCGTGAGTGAGTGGAATCCATATAATAATAACTGCAAACATTACAGGCCTGGCATCCTGCCCAGTGAGCCCTTCCCTTGCATTTCTTCACTAAGTCTCTCACCCATCCTGCAAGAGAAGTATTTTTAGTATGCCCATTTACACATGAGGAAACAGAGATGTAAAGAGGTGGAATGATCTGCCCCAGATCCCACAGCTAGAGAATGGTAGCTCTGGGATGTGGTATGTACTCACTGGCATGACAGGATGTTTTTGTGAGAAGAAAGTTGAGGGCATTGGGCTGGTAGTCAAGGATCCAGGTTTTCAGGATAACATGGGTATCTTAGTTATCTAGTACTGCTATAACAGAAATAATAGCACAGAAAATAAAAATGACAGAAAAAATAACAGTGGATGGCTTTAACAATAACAAGCAGAAATTTATTTTCTCACAGTTTAGGAAGCCAGAAGTCCAAATTCAAGGTACCAGTTCTAGGGAAGGTCTGTCTTTCTCTTGGTTCTGGGAGAAAGTCCTTGTCTCCTTTCAATATCTGTGGGCTTTGCATTCCTTGGGGATCTCCATGTGTCTTCACATCAGTCTTCCTGTGGATCTAGGAGGTTCTCAGTACAGGGACCTCCAGGTTCAAAGGATGCGCTCTGCTCCCAGCTTTTCTTTCTTCGTGGTACTGAGACCCTCCATGTATACTGACTTGTTTATAATCTCTTTTATATCTCAAGAGAGATTGACTCAAGGTAGAACCTAATCCCAAAGATTATATCCTGCTTCATTAACATGAGTGCCTATAATCCTGCTCTACTAATATCATAGAGGTTAGGATTTACAACACAGGATAATCACATCAGATCACAAAATGGAAGATAATTACATAATACTGAGAATCATGGCCTAGCCAAGTTGACATATCTTTTGGGGGGATGCAATTCAATCCATATCAATGGGAAAATCAGTTAGAACTAGAACCTGTGTTATGTAACGACTGATCTGGAACCTGGAACATTAAGCTAATTACTTTCCAGAAGAGGAGTTTGTTCCATTTCTAAAGCAAAGTTTTCCAACTTCTTTAACCCTGAGGGCTACCAAGACTCAAGAATTAGATGTGATTTGATAAAGGACAGGTGCCAGAAGACTATCTGCTCTTTGAGGCTGGAGCCAACCCTTGTTTAGTACAGCGTTCTGCCCCTACTACACAGAACCAGTCTTGGCACACACAGGTGTTGGATGAGTGCATGGAAATTTGGATAGATAGATGGATGGATGGACAGACAGACAGAAATTCAGATGGATGGAAGGAAGAACGGATGGATGGAAGGATGCATTGATGGATGCATGGATGAATGGAAAGAGGGAAGGAAGGACAAATGATGGATGGGTGGATGGATAGCTAGACTGATGGCTGGATAGGGACAAGGAAGGAAAGATGGATGGATAGATATTTGAATGAAAGGAAAGACTTGAGGAGGTAGGTAAGAGAAAGAGAGTCAAAAATTAGAACCAGAATGAAATAAAAGAAATACATAGAAAAGACATAAAATTTTGCAACTTTTGCTAAAGGTACCATTATTGGAAATTGATGACTTTTTTCTGTTCCCATATATTCTCTCTGCACATAGGTCTCATTTGTATGTTTATTTAATATACATTTTTGACCACTAACCTGGATGCTGGGGATAAACAAACAGGACACACTCCTACTCTCGGGGAGTTTACAATTTTGGGAAATTACTCAAGCCATTTATCTCACTGCCTTCTCATTAGTAGAGTACATGGGCGTCTTGACTGGAATATTCTCACCTACATAGGATGCTCGTGGAGCAGAGGAACTTGTCTTCCTAGCTGAGTCTCATTTTTTTGCATTTACCATAAGGAAGGATGGTTTTATGGGGATCTTTATTTCTTTTTACTAGAACTTTGTTTTTAATGGTCTCCCACCTTTCTATAAAGCTTTTTTGGTTTGTTTAATGGAATATTAGGATCCATGTGGAATGGCTCTTGTTTTTCTTTCTTAACCAGGATTGACCGGAAGATGTCAAGTGCTCATACCAACTATAAGCTGGATGAGGCACAGGCCATCATGAGTGAACTCCGGACCATCAAGAAAGCCATTTGCACAGGCGAGAAGGAGAGGCGGGACCTGATGCAGGTGAGAGGCGGGGCTGTGATCACTCCCCTGAGCCACTGTCTAGTTGTCTGGCTTGTCGAGTTTTCTTTTGTATATTTCTTTTATAAAAGCTATATATATTAATTTCATGTTTTTATTACATCTGTATATGAGGATTGGATAAGATGTTGAAGCAGAACCACTGATCTGTCTGGATTCCCTTCAGGGACAGTATTTGAAGACCAACCAAAAGCATCAAACCAACTGAAAAGGAAAAAGTAATCAGGTGGCTCCCATCAGCTGATAGGAGCTCTGGTGGCGTAGTCCCTAAGGCATTTGACCACTAACCAGAGGGCTGGCAGTTCAAACCCACCAGCCACTCCTCAGAAGGAAGGTTGGGCAATCTACTTCCATTGTGATACCGCCTCGGAAACCCAAGGAGGGGTCGCTATGAGTTGGATCCGACTCGACGGCAGTGCGTTATAGTCTCTTAAGTCAGAGAAATTCCATGGACAGGCATAGGCAAAGCCCTCTTCCACTAATGTTAACTCAGTCCGTTCATCTTTCTTAGCCTAACTTGCCACTACTGCCCCATGGCAAGAAGACTACAGCCATGTAGTCACAAGCCAGCTACATGGGTTACCCTGTACCCAGCTGCTCTGGTCCTGGTGTCTGCAGTCATATCTGCTAAAAAGGAACATATTCAAAAGTCTTAAAGGATAGAAAACCTGGCTTCTGTTTCTCTCCCATACCAAGTACCACATACATACTTCCTCTAATTCTTGCCAATCTAACATCATGTGGGGGTCCCTGGATGGTTCAGATGGTTAATACACTTGGCTGCTAACTGAAAGGTTGGAGGTTCAGGTCCACCCAGTGGTGCCTTGGTTGAAAGGCCTGGTGATCGACTTTGGAACATCAGCCATTGACAACCCCATAGGCTGCTGCTCTGACAAATGTGGACTTGTCAGGAGTTGGAATTGACTCCAAGGCAACTGGGGGAACACTCAGATGAGGTTACTTTTGACCTTTTGGCCATGTAGAATTTGACTAAAAATCAGGTTATAAAAACGTGTAAGCATCGTCTGGGAGGTGTTTTCATCTTCTGTGTGGTTTATCTGTTAAGATCTGGGGCAGGCATTAAACTTATTCAGACTTATTCACTGATAGAACGTTTTGGATTGACATGCTTATGTTTGTTTTAGTAAATACAAAGGTTTAAAAAATAATGGCTATGGTTCCATAAGGAGCTCTGGTGGCATAGTGCCTAAGGCACTTGACTGCTAACCGGAAGGCTGGTCGTTCAAACCCACCAGCCACTCCTCGGAAGGAAGATGGGGCAATCTACTTCCATACTGATACTGCCTCAGAAACCCAGGGAGGAGTCTCTGTGAGTCGGGTCCGACTCGATGGCACATAACAACAACACCAACAACATGGTTCCATAGTTGTTCTCTAATTGAGTTCCATGCTGCCAGAATGACTTGGTCACTATATGATTTAAATGACTAACAATCTTCTTCTTAAAGGTACATGTGGTGAAAAACATTTCTTTAGAATCTAATGAGAATGGGGGTCAGGGTGGGACAGTTCTCTCATAATCAAATAGAAGACCGAGAAGCAAAGCAGAAAGTCCCCTTCCAAGGGGGAGAGTCAGCATTAACATCTCGATTCAAGTTGCTTGTCTCATTCTATTCCAGAGCCTGGCTAAGCTAACTGACGGCTTCAAGAATAGCTGCTCTCTTATGGACTCATTACAAGATTTCCCTCCCAATCCAGGCACACTGGGCGATTCTTGTTTACCTCAACAATTCTGCGATGCTGGGTCTCAGACCGACATCATTGGAGAGGTATGCTCACCCAGGGAGAACAGACGTAGGTGCTGAGAGAGAAGAGGGCGGCTTTTGTGTTGCCATCACATATTTTGTTTAATTTTCCATTTTCACATCAGAATTATTTTGGCTTTTGTGCAGTTCCATTTGAAGAGAAAATACTGGGTCTCATATCCAGCTGAGATGGTTCAATGGCATGGGAGGCAATTGAAGTACTTACTGACTCTATCCTTATGATTTGGATTCTTACAAATGGCAGAATCTTTTTGAGAATTGAGTATAAATGCTTTCTTGACAGACATGACTTTTTTGAGTGTGAGCTGGCAAACTGTTTCTGTAAAGGGCCAGATAGTAAATATTTTTGGCTTTATGGGCCATGTGATTTCTGTCGCAACTACTCAGCTCTGCCACGGTAGCATAAAAGCAGCCACAGATGATACGTAAATGAATAGTTGTGGCTGTGTGCCAATAAAACTTTATTTACAAAAACAAGTGGTGCAGCTCATCCTTAGTTGGCTCATCTCTGGCTTTGACCAGTGATTCTTAAAGGCTTTTTTGTAGCTGAGCCACCCTTGGGTTATATACTCGAATGCTGTTTCTTATTCCTCTAATAGAATGTCAGGAAATTGAATTAAAATTAATTTTGTGTGAGACTTGGAAGAACTTTATAATACCCCTTTTGATAATTCACGAAGCCCTGAGTTAGCCAAAAAAATAAATAAATAAAATAAAAACAAGGTTGGCAATCACTGTTTGAAGCAGGGTGGTGAATATTTAAAGAACACTGCTATTGTAATGTCACTGAGGGGACTTTCTCAGTAATTTGTTACCACATGGAAAAGCAGTTTGGACTGCTGCTTTTTCTTAGGGCTTCTTAAGTAAAGATTAAATGCCAATGAAATGCAGAAGACACAAAACCGATGGAGGACTCAGGGTCTTGAATAATTAGCTGATATTTTAACATTTTGGCAAATGGTACCTCTTTGGGATGCATAATAATGACTCTTTTTTTATGTCTTGGATTTTCTGGAACAATCCCAATTTCAATTTTCCCCTCATTGTTCTCCAGAGTACACTTGTGACCATGTGTCTGCTTTAACGAAGAATCTCTCAGTCAGAAATGCCTAGCCTTTTCCCTAAAGATGTCAGAGCAAGGGAAGGAAAGAAGTACAAAACTCATTGACTTCCTTGAATAATTCATTGCTTCTTGTCATATGGTTAAGGTTCCTGTGTGACGCAAACAATTTGTGCTTAACTACTAACCTGAAGGTTGGCAGTTTGAACCCACCCAGTGGTGCCTAGGAAGAAAGTCCTGGCAATCTCCTTTCATAAAGGTGACACCCAAGAAAGCCCTATAGAGCAATTCTACTCCGTAACACATGGGGTCTTCATGAGTTGGAATCAACTTGAAGGCTACTAGGGTTTTTTTTTTTTTTTTTGTATAGGCTGTTTTATCATAAGGTTAGAATTAGAATTGAGATAACTCTTAACTAGTTTGCAAGGTAAGCTTGAAGCTCTCTGGTGATTTAGGTAGGATCTTGTAAAAATGTCTGGTGGGCAGTAGCTTGTTATCCTGTTGTAATATGCTAGCTATACATTAGGATTGTTTACAAGTCCCTGCAGTGTACTGGGCTGGCACTGGGCTGCCAGCTTAATTCACGTAGTTATTCCCATCCCTGTTTTAGAGATGAGGAGACCGAGGTTTCAGATTGTGTAATACCAGGTAACTAGAGAAAGGTCTGGGTTTAAATCAACTCCTCTGACCCCTAAACACCTATACTATCTTCTCCATTCTTTTATTGTAAAAAAAATGTACTGAAGGCTACAACTTGGTGTATTAGTTAGTTATTACTGCATAACAAATTATCTACAAATCTAGTGGTTTAACACGATACACTTTTGTTACTTTATATTTTTATGGGCCAGGAGTCTGAATTGGCTCCCCTGCTTCAGTTTCTTTCACAAGGCTGCAGTCAAGGTGCCAGGGCTAAGCTCTTATCCGAAGACTTAACTGGGGAAGGATCCACTCCCAAGCTCATGTGATTGTGGTCAGGGTCCAGTTCCTCACAGACTGTTGGAATGAGGGCCTCCGTTCCTCGCCACGTGGACCTCTCTAGCATAGTGCCTTGCTGCATCAAAGCTTGCAATCTGAGAAGGCAACGAAGTCTGCTAGCAAGATAGGCGTCCCAATCTTTTGTAACCTACTCACCACAAAGATTCTCCATCACCTTTGCTGTGTTCCCTTGGTTGAAGTCAAGTCATTAGGCACAACCCACTCCCAAGAAGTGGGGATTGTACAATTCCAGGAGGCGGTGATCATCGGGGGCTATCTTAGAAATCTCCCTGCCACATTTGGTTAACTGCTTTGAATCATTTTGGTGGGTAGCCATGCTTGTGTATCAGTCATGCTTTTTGACACTAGGGATTTGCAACCACACACTTGTAAGCAATATAGGCATATCCTTGGAATTTAGCAGTTGGGGTACATGTTGTCGGCAGCATGGGAACTGTGAGGCAGGAGCCTATTGGATGGTGCTGGCTGTCGGTTTCTTCTTTTTTGACCAAGATGTCCGTTGTATTCTCACAGAAGTGGGCAAAACCAGAGTTTAGAGGTCTGTAAACAGCTCTGAGAAGAGGTTAAGACACTGAAGTGTTTCATGCTTGATGAAGTTGGCTGAGGTGGTGTCTAGTAAAAAGGGTGATAAGGTGACAAGTAGCTCAGATAGTTTCCATAAGGTGATGCTTTAGCCTAAAGATGTCTCTGCCAAGGAGATCGTGGAGGGGGCATTGGCTGAAACTGTGTAAATGTGTAAGACTGTGACTCATCTCAGTGGGGAATGTCAGTTCTTTGAAAAACACTTGGTGAGCTTATTATTCAAGGCAATAAAGATGTAAAGAGATTCCTTATTGACATATCAAAGCACCTATCAGTAAATTTATCACTCATCATTCAAGTAGGATACTTTCAGATAGTTGTTGATAGGAGGTTATTAAAACAGCCTAAAAATCATCAACAGATGGATGGATAAACAAAATGTGGTCTCTCCATACAACGGACAGTTACTTAGCCCTGAGTGCTAACCAGAAGGCAGGTGGTTCAAACCCACTAGCCACTCCTCGGAAGGAAGATTGGGCAATCTACTTCCATAGAGATACCGCAGTGAGGTTGGTTTTTTTTTTTTTT